GAGACTTACTGGCCTGCCAATGCTATTCCTGTGGTGCTTCATGTCTTGAGAGTAAAGAACAGTTAGTTAGCTGTCTACTCTTTGGGAGCTGCGGGGAGGGTCCTGGGGCTGAGGGAAACACAGCAATTGGCACCATTCAAGACATCAGCCTAAATTCCGTGTTTCTTTAGTGGAACATGGACTAGCTAGTTCTCTCATTACCCTGACCCCTGACAAAGGAACTAAAGAAAGAAGGGGTTCTCTGGCCTCGCGATGGACAGGGAGACAGACGGTGGTAAGCGTGGCTCAGCTGTGGCGGCAGTAGTTCGAGTCTGCCGGTCACACCGTGTCCACAGACAGAAAGCAGAGAGAGGACGCTGGCGCTCAGTCCCCTTTCTCCTTAAAAAAAAAAAAGCTTTGTTTAAAAAAATCAGTCTGGGACCCCAGTCCGCGGGATCGGTGCTACCCGGTGGGTCCTCCCTCCTCAGTAAGCGAGCCTCTCTGGAAGCATCCTCCCATCAAGATGACACCGCAGACTGACAGCTCCAGAATGGAGGAGAACTCTTTTCAAGCGTTACTTCACAACTTGGTCTTTTTGTGGGAAACAGGCCAGTTTCTGTTTTGACTATCCTATGATGAATTCTGTGTGGTAATCAGAGTTGGAAGGGGCTGCACTTTGGGATCTCTTGTGGGTGCCTTGTAGGTTGAAACCTTTGACAGCTTACTAGGACTTGGGGCCTCTCCCTGTACCTTGGCACCTGGGCCTACCTCGCACACCGATGAGCTGTATGTGGTACGTCATGCCACATGCCGGTGACTCCAGCTTATACACCTTTTTCTGTGTAAAACCTTGACAACCCAGTGGGCACGAGATACAGCTGTCTTGCAGAAGAACTGCAGCTGTTGGAAAGGCCCAAACGTTCAGACACCGGTTTGTCTCTGGGGGTCCAGTTTCCGCACCGACTCCTCTAGGGCTTTCTCCAGCCTAAATGAAAATGTCTCTTCAGATGGACCTTCCATCTTATCCTGCAGGACACGTTCCTGCGCTCATAAAGTCTGCTATACAGACTTTCGTTTTCTTTCAACTTAAAAAATTGACTGTGCCATTTCATCCTTGTGGAAAGAGCCTGCTAAAAGACTTCCTGGACAGATGCATGACTCAGGGGTGTGGAGTGGACTCAGGGAAACAAATCGAGTGTCCAAAGTCCTTTGGGGGAGTTCGTTGTCTGATAACCTTCTGGGCTTTGCAAAGCGGACAGGTGAGACTGGTTTCTCACAGGGTCACAGAAAGTGGCCGCTAAACCCGGACATTCTACATAGTGAGCCAGGCTGGTTATCATGCCCTGCAATGTCCAGGCCCTCTCTTGGAGCATGTGGGTCAGAACATCTGCGACTTGGGCCTTTGTTCTGTACTTCTGGGCCAGTTTGCCCGCGTCGCATAGAGTAGGCACTACACGATGCTATGGTGACACTCGTGTCTTTTTCTTCATTCAATTTGTCTTCTTTGAGAGCCGTGACTATCATTTAAAAAAAGGATTCTGTGTGCATGTGTGCACCCACACGGAAGCAGGTCAAGATTGGGGTTCTTCTTCAGTCTTGAACCTGGAGCTTGGTGATTCAGCTATGCTGGCTGGCCAGTGAGGCCCCAGGGTTCGCCTGTCTTTGCTTCCCAGCATTGGGGTTGCAGATGCACACCACCACCTGCTGTCCTGGGGGTACAAACGCAGGCCCTCATTCCTGTGCAGCAATCACATGGCCACTGAGCCATCTTCCCAGCCCCTCACCTATTGTTTTCTGACTTTTTTGGTGACAAAAATGTATTCTTTTCATGTTGCTATCTTCTCAGGTCTAGCGACGTTCTTCCCAGCCAGACGCATCTCTCTCCTAAGAAATCCTAAGTCGTTGAGTAGAGGACATTTTCAGTTTGTTGATATTCTACTTTATGTTCTTTTTGGAGCATTTTAAGCTAGTTCTAGATAAAAATAGTGCAGCTTTCTGAGAAATATGGCAATTTTGGTCTCTGCAATTTGGCCTCTCTAGTCAATATGTCTTATGGGCTCCAAGGGATGCTAACATTGGAAGGGGGCAGGGCTATGGCTGTGTTGCCCGTAAGACAAGGCACAAGTGAGGACTGAACATGATCCTATTGCTTCCAGACCTCAGGGACAGCTAGGTGTGTCCTTCCTAGCAGGCTTTGTCCACTGAGTTCCGGAAATAGCAGAGTGTGGGATCCAGAGCTGAGCGTCCCAGCCAGCAGAGTTAACCGTCCCAGGTGCACATCTTTTTTTAATGGATTCAAACGGTTCTAAATACTTCAGCTTTGCGAGCTCACGCAGGCCGAGGTGAGGCGTGGAAAACCCATCATGGTTCAGCCACTGGAGACTTGCAGCGGTGGAATGAGACACTGGAACCTGCTGACAGGACCAGATGTGTGTGAAGTCTTTGGCCCTCTGGGGAGATCCATTTGGGGAAATCTGCCACCTACTTACTTGGTTACTGTTTGATCCATTAGTGTCCGTTAATCTGGTCCAATGGACTCACCTGCCTCCCTCAACAGAGAAAGCTGTGGTCTGTCTCCATTGATGTGTGGGGATCTGGGGACAGAGATACAGATCCAGGAAGTTCAGTTTGTTCCTAAAGAAAATACAAAGGAAGGCCAATACTGAAGCCACCTGGGCAAATCTGTGAAGAAACAAATTACTTCTAGTCTAGAGACTACTAAATTCCAACCATCACACCTATGTGTGCATTGGACACACTCAGACAAACCAGGTGCTCTCTGTTGAAGTCTGAAGCCATTGCCAGATCTCTGTGTGTGAATCACTTTATTTACTTATTTATTACAATAATTGATGTAAAACTTAAGTGTTGCCAGAGAAAGTGTGTAGGATCGTCAACTTCTCTTAACTTGACTTTCTTCGCAGTTTTGCTGGTGTCAGCTGGTTCCCACACAACCCCTTTTCTTTCCTCTTCAATGGCTAGCATGAGCTGTTTAAGTGGTTGCTCGAATTACACGTTTGTCGAATGCCAGGTGTTCCTCCACAGACTTGAATAGCTCATAACTCTGAGGGGAGGTGTGATCGTTCCCATCTTCTAGAAGAGGAAATTGAGGCTTAGAAAGTTCAATGGCTTTCCCTCCGTGCTGCGCAGCTGGGATTGAAATGCAGGGCCTTCTGACTGCAAACGAGGTCCTCCATGTCGTGGATACGCGGGTCCTGCTTGGGCTACCACTTTTGTATGGCTGCTGGGGGCTGAAGCCAAATTCAGCCTGTCACCAGCAAGCCATCGTCCGGTGAAAAAGAATATACTGAGCTCAATTCTGGATCCTGGTGCTTTTGATGCTTTTATTTTTCTCTTTCTAAAGTTTGGGTACTTGCTTAGTTATCAGCTACCTACCTACCTGCCTGTCTGTCTATCTACCTACCTACCTACCTGCCTACCTATCTATTATCTATCTATCTATCTATCTATCTATCTATCTATCTATCTTTCATCTCTGTCCATCCATTTAAACACATTTGGTTATTTAACAGGTGGTTTCAAAACATTGTTTTTGAGACAGGATCCACACATGCCGCCCAGGCTCGACCTGAACTTGCCTGCAATCCCCCTGCTGTGGCTTCCTCAGTGCTATATTATAGGTTATAGCACACATCCCCACATACAGCCTTCAAATGTTTTTGTTGTTTTGGTGATATATTCATGAGATAGAGATGCAAATGAGAAAGAAAACTTACATAAAGAAATGATGTTTAGACTTAATAATTGCTGAGGCTTTCCGTAATCCAACATAAACCTCATTTCTTTCCTTCCTTCTGATCCCTGCTCCCAGCCCCCAGCTTTCTGTGTGAAAATATGAAGCCATTGCCAAACCTCTGGCTGTGTGCAAATTGTTTTCTGTTTTAATTGAAGTCTCAGACACAAATATCAGCAATGAAATGCTTGGAGTTTTTTTTTTTTTCTCTTGTTTTTTATTCTGGTGTCAATGAAGTTCAGCTGGCTCTAGTTATAAGTGATCCAACAGTTTTATAAGCAATCATTTCCCCAGGCACAGTGGCAAATGAAATGCATTATGGGAAACTTGTGAACAATATAATTTTATCTCACTGTTGAGAGAAAGGGAAAAAAAGAGAGAGTCTTGGTCACTGCTGGGCATTTCCTTTAATGGTGCATTTTCTGAGTTCAGGGAACAGACTGAATGCCTCAAGTTGGGGCTCTCTGACTCCTTATGAATGGTGATAGAGTTATGTCCGCTACTTTGGAGGACTGACGCAGCAGCTCACGGGCAGATTGGTCGGGATAATGCCTCCTGAGAGTTTGTCCGTGGATATGCCAAATGATTTAATTGGCATGTTGGGTGATTTTTTTTTTAAAAAACATGTTAGTTTAGTATGTGTTAGAAAAGTATAATGAAAAAGTTATTAACAAATGAGTTAGTTTTTGAGGTATTATTAAACAATCCTACTGGAGGCAGTACACAGAAAAAAATGTATAAACAAAAGTGATAGTCCAAAAGCTAAATCAGCAACAAGGAGAAAGGGTATTTGTCCATGACGTAATATGGAATGCAGAATGCTTGTAGATGGACACCTGGCAATCCGCAGGTTTTCTCCCTTTAGAAGAGGCTCAGCTGGCTCAGTTCATCCTCAGGACTCCCTAACATGGTGCTGGAAACTGGGGCAGCCTTTCCCAACCAATCGTCCAACAAAGATGAGAGAGACGTCAAGAACTCTCAAGAAGATGTCAGCCCTGTGGTGGTGCTAGCCTGTTACTAAATCCAGCACTGCTCACCTCCAGCGTTGCTGTGATGTGTAAATTAGATTTTCTGCTAATCGAAGCTGGAGGCACTCCTGACACGTTTTTTTCAGATGTCTATCTGGCTCCATGACTGGTGTGGGCTGCTCTGAATCTTCACACTAGATTGTCCTACATCTATTATAGCCAGCAACTGTTTATTTTCTCTCTCTCTCTCTCTCTCTCTCTCTCTCTCTCTCTCTCTCTCTCTCTCTCTCTCTCCTAAGTAAGTTAAATAGAAAGGAGAGTCGGGACCATCTCCCCAGCTGCCACCTGTCTAGCCACACTGTCCCCTGAAGGCCCTTTCTTTTGAAAGGGAAGCAACCACTTCCATGAACCAGCCCTGGGGCAAAAAAGTCCACCTTCTCTCTCAAGAGCTCACAGACCCTCGTCTCCATTGGTCAAAGGAGGTCTGGACTTTCTTCATCTATCATGGGAGCCTTGCTTCCAAGGTTTGCTGAGGATACATCCTCCAGCTCATCAGCCCTGTTCATCTTTCTTTGAAAGAACTCAGTTACACGTGCTGCTGTGCAGAAGTCTGAACACTCAGGGGTTGGTTTTCTGCTTTCCACATTTAAGTGGGTTCCAGGGGTTGAACTCAGGGTGGGAGGCTTTCAAAGCAAGTGCCTTTACCCACTGAGCCATCTTCCAGCCAGAAATTTACTTATTAAATCCATAGTAACTCTGAGCTAAGACACCCTGAAGGGCACACACAGATGCACTCTTTCTCAAGGGACTGTTTTCTTTTGTTCTGTGTCCCTGCAAGTGACATTCGGAGGAGGGAGATGATACAACGGACTGATGCTGGTCGTCCTAAGAGCAAGATGGCATTCCTCCTCACTCCGAGAAAAGAAGAAAAGAAATTTTAAGATAAGCCCCTCCAGGGGCTTGCCACTGTCCCTGTGCCTGAGCTATGGAGAAAAGCCACCCAGGCAGAGTCAGCCCACCTATTTTATGATAGCCTACATTTACCTTGGAAAGCCCTCTGTGGCCCTCTCGGTGGAAAGTCTCCCGCCACGGAATCAAGACATGTTCAAGTCTTCATCTGGGGCATGCAAAAAACCGTAAGTATTTCTGCAGTTTCTGGCCTGGTAAACGTGTCGTGCAGTTTATTTCTCACAAAGTGACACTTAAAACACGTGATTCAGTTTAACAACAGACTTTGGCTTCTAGCTACTTGCTTGTGTGTGACTTCAGCAGGTTTGCTGGGGTTGGCTGTGGGTGTTTGTGAAGCGTGTTGGATGAATTAACAATGCTCGTGCACAGAGAATTAAGTGTTACCTTGCTTCTTTGCTGCTCCAGCGCTCTGTGTAAGTCCCAGTGGCAAACCTACTCTCCACAAACTGTTCCTAGCAGAATACTCTTCCTGGGCCACGTTCTAGAAAGAACTTAAAACAGATGAAGACTAAACACACATTTTGGCTTTTGACCCTCACTATTTTGTGGCATGGTTTCGAGCTCCTCTTTCCAAAACAGAAAGTTTTTCTGCAAGGAAATGCTTCCTTCTGAGAAGGGTGGTGGTGGCACATGCATTTAATCCCAGCCCTCGGGAGGCAGAAACAGGTAAATCGCTGGGAGTTCGAGGCCAGCCTGGTCTACAGAGTAAGTTAGAGGACAGCCAGGGCCACACAGAGAAACCCTGTCTCAAAAATTAAAAAAAAAAAAAATTCTTCCTTCTAGGTTGCCCAGGAGCATAAGGACCAAGTCCTGTTGGCTTCAGAGAAGACCTGTGTAGAATAGTACCATGCACTTATGAATCTGTTTTGTGAGAGCCTACCAGTTCTGCAGTAGATGGCCTCTTACTTGTGCATGTACATGGACTAAAATGGAACCAGTGGGTATTAAATTTCAAGAAAGAGAACAGCGAATTTGAGAGGGGAAAACGGTGCTTGGGCCGTGGAGGCAATGGGGAGGTAGGTTTAATCCAAGCACACTGTGCGTGTGAATTTTGGATAGAATACTTCCTTTGGGTCTGTGCTCCGCTTGGACACTGCAGCCTGGCTGTGGTTGGGTGGGCTGCAGATGGCCTCATTCTAGTTCTGTCTGTTCTCTACTGAGCGGGGACAAGTGGGAACGTGGTCAGTGCTGCTTAGAGTGCAAAACTAGGGGATGGGCTAGGTCTGGCCTCCCAGCCAGCTCTGCTGTTATGTGATAGTGTCTGGCAATTAGTTATTAGTCGCGCAGTAGTACCTGAATGCATTTTATGAACATAAAAGTGAAAGTGAGTTTGAGTCCCCTTGTCTGTCTTTCTCCAGGATTAATTCAGCCCCAGGGCCATTGTTACCATGTTGGCCTGGTCTGAGGACCTTCAGATACTATTTAAACCTCATGCTGTGTAGGTATTAGAGCGTATGAGATGTCACTCTGCAGTTCTTGGATTACTCTTCATTTTGTTTCTTGAGGCAGGGTGTCTTCTTGAACTTGGAGCTCCCTGATTCTGGCTAGTCTAATAGTACCTGGTTTGTTTTATGTTGCTGTGATAAAACATTGTCCAAAAGCAACTTGGGGTGGGGAGGGGGCTTATTTGGTTTACAGTCACACTCCATCATTGACTGCAGTCAGGGCAGGAACTCAAGGCAGGAACTGGAGGCACGAACTGAGGCAGATACCACAGAGAAATGCTGCTTCCTAAACTCATCACCTTGCATTCTCACATCATCCAGGACCACCTGCTCAGAAGTGGAACCACCTACTGTGGTCTGGGTCCTCCCACATCAATCATTAATAATAATAATAAAATGCCCCCACAGACTTGCCTGCAGGCCAATCTGAAGGAAGCATTTTTTTAAATTGATGTTCCTTCTTCCCAGATGACCTTAGCTTGTGTCAAGTTGACAAATATTAACCAGCACCTCTACCTAGCCAGCTTGTCCCAGGGATCCTCTGTCTCTGGCTCCCGAGTGCTGAGATTACAGGTGGCCACCATGCCTGCTGGACTTTTATGTGGGTTTTAGGGGTCTGAACTTCAGTCCTCACACTTGTAGTCCAAACACATTGGTCCGTCTCCCCAGCCTCTATTTATTAAAGCCGTTTAACTCTTATAATAATGATGGGGATGATCTGCCATTAGTGTTCATTTTAGGTTCTTCAAAACTGAAGCTGAAGTCAGACAACTGGATTTAACTGAAACAGCCTGATTCGGATGCCAAGCTCTTGCTAGCTAAGCATGCTTATTCATATGATTGTGTTCAGACCATAGCTAATTTGTTTACCTTCACGGTGCAATAATTTTAACCATTTCACTATGTTAGCATCTCTGGGTATTGTGGGGAAAATGATAAATTAATAATGGCTGTCCATGCAAACATTTGCACAGTTACAAGGCTTATTTTGTATGTAACAACAACAATAATCCAAATTCCTGTTTACTGAGTACCTTGCACATGTTAGGTATTGCTATAGCACATTGTTTGCATGCATCTATTATTCCATTTAAAACTCACAATCACACAGAGAAATAGATATTAGCCCTGTTGTGGAATATTAGTTGAAGATGTGTTGGATTTGTTTATGCTGTGGAACATTTGTTTAACGATGCAAAGATGTGTTCATTCTTTTATGTTGCATTTGTTTAACTCTGAAGCCGTGTCATTTTGCCTGTCTAAAACACCTGATGGTCTAATAAAGAGCTGAGCGTCCAATAGCGAGGCAGGAGAGGGATAGGCAGGACTTCCAGGCAGAGAGAATAAATAGGAGAAAAAGAGAAGAGCGGGGATGCCAGGGCCAGACACATCGCCATACATGGGATAAAAAGGAAGGGAAAGATATACAAAAAAGAGAAAAAAGCCTAGAGGCAAAAGGTAGATGGGGTAATTAATTAAGAAAAGCTGGCTAGAAATAAGTCAAGACCAGACATTCATAAGAAAGAATAAGTCTCTGTGTGATTATTTGGGAGCTGGGTGGTGGGTTTCCCATAGAGTAAAAAATTAAAACAAACAAACAAACAAGCAACCTAACTACATAGTCAGCTGACAATGTGAGTTTCCTAAGGCCATTCCACTAAAGGTGAGTGTTAGGTGTGGCCCAAGCCTACCTGCCCCACCATGCCTGGCCTCCCATAGTTGGACAAAGTGGGACACTTGGGGAAGAGGCTGTATGTATGCCTTGGAAAGGTCTCTTTCTCTTTCCTTTGTCTTTCTCTGTTGCTTGGCAATGGTGAGTGAGCAGCTTTGCTCTCCAATGTATCTCCCAGCATGATGCTCTCCCTCACCATAGTCTAACAACAGTGGAGCCAGCCAGCCAACCATTGTCCAAACCCTCTGAATCCAGGAGACAAAACACAGCTTTCTGTCTTTAAAGTGTTTCTGTTAGGTATTTCTGTCACAGTGACAAGAAACTGACTACCACAAAATCACATTCTGTCGGAAATGGGACCCACCAGGCACAAACCCTATGGTACACTAGTCCATGTGGCCCCAGGGTCCAGAGCTGACAATATAGAGTAGAATAACCCAGTGCAGCCTCATCATACCAGCCTAGGCGAGCCACGAATTGTAGGCATCTGTGTTGGCTAGTTTTATGTCATCTTGACACAAGCTAGAGTCATCTGAGAGGAGGGAGCCTTAATCGAGGAATTGCTTCCAGAAGACTGGGCTATAGTCAAGCATGTAGGACAATTTCTTAGTTAGTGGTTGATGTTGGAGGATTCAGCCCCTGGGTAGGCAGTCCTTCAAGCTATAAGAAAGCAGGCTGAGCAAGCCGTGAGGAGCAAGCCAGTGAGCAGCATTCTGCTATGGCCTCTTCATCAGCTCCTGCCTCTAGGTTCCCTCCTGGTTTGAGTTCCTTCCTTGGCTTCCTTAATGAACTGTGATTCAGGATACGTATGTCAAATAAATCCTTTTTCCTAAGTTGCTTTTGGTCATGGTATTTCATTCCAGCAGCAGTAACCCTAACAAAGACCCATTCAAGAACCAGATCTAGCCAGGCTCACTAACAAAGACCACATCCATTCAAGAACCAGATCTAGCCAGGCTCATGGACAGTTTTGTTAGTGTTTTCTGAATGAACTTCTTGATTCAGTCCTAAACTGTTTAGGCTTTTGTCTTCCATACCTTCTTTCTACTAGTCTCCAAATTTCTGGCTGACAGCTCTGATCAGCTTTCTCTGATCCTTCCTTGTGGTTTGGACAGCCTTCAATCAGTTGAGAAGCTGCTCTTGGTGGATAGCTTATCTTGGAATGATTTTGTTCTTCCTATGACTTTGTTGATGAAATAAAGGATCTAATGTGTGGTTGGGGAGAAACGGTTCAGTAGTTTAGAATGCCGCCACCTTATCTTTTAGAGGACTAGCATTTGGTTTCCAGCACCCACACGGGGTGCCTCACTGCTATCTGTAACCCCATTTCTAGAGCACCTGCACACATGTATATATGCACACATATGCATAAATAAAAATAAATATTTAAGAAGGAGTGTGGCTGAGAAGTATAGCTCAGGGCTTCTGCTACTGAAATGACTCTAGTCATTCCAGACTCCTTTACTGGAACATGGAGCATGCATTCAGAAGTCAAGTATCAAAGGTAGAGTTGTTTTGCGTTTGTCACAGGCAGGGAACAATTTGGAGATAAGTGGTTTGGATGTATAGATCCATTCCCAGGCTGGGTTATTTATGTTCAAATTCCTTAGTGTCTAATAACAAAGATGTCTCTTCCCTTTAGGAATGCCAGGAACAACACCCCCAGGGGACTCATGTATCACAACCAAAATTATAACAATTCAGAGCCTTCATATAGTTGGAAGTTTAGTTGTCATACCGACGTTAGAGCTAGGGTTTCCTTCACAGCCGAGTTCCTTTCCCTCTGTAGATGATGAAATGCTATTACAGGCAGACGCTGCAACTGCGAAGATGAACTCTGAGTTCTTGAGTCTTTAAAATGCTGTTTTTGATGATTAGGGTGGTTGAAAAGGAATGTGTCCAAAAGTTGTGACTCTGTCCTCACACCACAGATAAGGGAAGCTCTCATTCCTCATCAAAGGAGCTTCTCTTTGCAACAGGTGGAGACCATTATACAATGCCATGACTCATCAAAGTACAGGGAAGAACTGCTTCTGTGGTACCCAGGCCC